TCGCGCGGACGCCATAAGTGGCGAAGGTTAGCAAAAGCGCCATGAGCTTTTACTATACGGTTCATGATCTCATCTTCGCTCCCACGGGCGCTGACACAACTTCCTAGGTAGTTGAATTTCTGAACGACTTCTAGCTAATCCCCACCAAGGGTCAGCGAAGGAGGCGGTCCAGGCCAATGTTGGAGGAACGCTTTGCACTTCGATGGTGCAAAGCAAAGCCCGAAGTGACGGACAGCTAGTGCTAATCTGTCCAGTGCCGCTTGACGCGTCTGGGAGCTGTCACAGATTAGGGCAATATCGTCAGCATACTCCAAGTCAAAAAGTTGTTCTCCTGGGAGCAAATCCACACCTTCTAAGTCGTGTCCTGTGAACGCGGTTTCCATGAGTTCGTCAATAGCGAAGTTGAAGAGGAAAGGTGACAGCGGGCATCCTTGTCTCACACCGCTGGAGATATTAAAGGGCGACGACAGCTTGTCGTAAGCCCTCACTCTGCCCGAGCTACGCGCGTATAATGATCGGATAATATTTACATATTTCTCAGGTACACCTTCCCTGAGTAGACAGTCCCAAAGTGCACGTCTATCCACCGAATCGAATGCACCTTTGATATCGAGGAATACAACAATGGTGGGCCGCCAATATATGTGATGGTGCTCCAACAACTGACGCAAACTGAAGATGTGGTCAGTGCAGCGACGACCTCGAGGAAACCCGGCTTGCTCTTCACGAATATGGCTTTCACAAGTGCCAGTCAGTCTGTGAAGAATGACAGAGGCAGGCAGTTTGGAGGCGATGGAGATCAGACTGATTCCTCTATGGTTGCCGCATTCCGATCGTGAGCCTCCCTTGAAAATTGGGACCATGACGGAGCGGCTCCAATCGGTTGGGACAGTTTCCTGCTCCCACAGTTTCACTAGTAACTCGTATAAATCATCCACAAGAGGAGGTCCCCCGAATTTGAAGAGGGTTGGAGGAAGATCATCAGGTCCCGCGGCTTTATTTAACTTTAACAGTGTGATCTCACGTTCGACTTCTGAGCGAGAGAGTGGATCCAAAGGGACAGCCCAGGGAGCGAGGCGATCAGTGGCCGGCGAGAAACCAAACAATTCCGACCGATTAATTTGCCTTTCAACGTGCTTAACCCAAAGCTCCAAGCGTTTTGACAAGTTGTGTATAGTCTGTCCACTCTCGTCACGTATAGTTTCACTAACACCAGGTCTTCTGCTGCCTGTTTCCCGTATCAGCCGGAATAACTTACCATGATTACCAAGGGCAGCGGCCGTTTCCATCTCTGATGCACGATGAGACCACCAGAATTCGCGGTCTCTCTTCAGGCTAGCACGGAGTTTTGCCCGGAGCTCTTTGCGAGTTTCATTGTGTTCGCTTCCATCCGGAATATGCCGGCGAGCATGGATAAGTTCTAGAGACTGCGAAGAGACCCAATGTCCATGTTGGTGATTAGACTTGTCACATGAGGATTTTCCTGCTGCAAGTAAGGTGTGGTGAATATGAGACCAGTGAGCTTCAACTGTATCCAGTGAGCGCTTACTCAATTCGCATGACAGCGTAGTTTGATAGGCATTGAGAACAGTTGGTTTCGCCAGTTGGCTGGTATCAATGCTCTCACAACGTCGTCTTGGGCGTCCGCTAAAACACGTCCGCAGGTCAGCACATACAAGTGCATGGTCGGTGTCCACACCTGTGCTCCAAATCTAGTGACAGTTCTGGACGCAGCCTCTCTATCGGTAAAGTATCGCAATATGATCGATTTGCGTCGATAGCTGGTTCGAGGCTGGTGGGCACCAAGTCACCCTCCGGCGGGTGCTGTGTCGGAAATTAGTGCTCGCAAGAAATAAGCGAGCACCCTCACACAAATGAGGTAACCACTCACCGTTATCATTACGAAAGCCTACACCATGTTGGCCACCCAGATGCAGTTCATCAGTGGATAATTTTTCAACTTGAGCGTTCAGATCCCCAGCCAGCACAACAGTGTCCGAGCTTCTTCTGTGGCGAAGGATCGCGTTCAATTAGCGATAGAAGCCGTCTTTTACCGAACCATCGCTAGAGTTTGTGGGTGCATAGGCAGTGATGACGAATAGACACCTGTTAATCTCGCGCGACTTCGAAGCTTGCAACGAGCCAACCAATCGGACTGCACACATCCGGCTACTGATTGGAATCTAGTCAACCAGAGCAGCTTCAGCCCGGGGATTCAGGGCGATACCAACACCGGCTTGGCCGGTGCTCGAAGCTGTATCGTCACCGGATAGGCGCAATGAGGAAGTGCTGCTGGTGTCACCTGAAGGGGATCGCAGAGTGAGCACAGAGCTCGAGTCTTGCAGGCGGGTATCCGATAAGCAGCAGATATCGATCAGGAGGGTCTCTAATGTTCGTTCAAGTGCTGCCTGTTGTCCGATCTGTAGCAATGTGCGTACATTGAGGCATACCAACCTGAAGGATGATCGAGTGCTCCAAATGGAAGTCGATGAACTGGGTTTGGCCGGTTGGTTGGACATGGGCTTGTCGACAGGACAGGAATGACGCTCCGCGTTCACATGTGAGTTGAAACTAATGGATAGAAGCCTAGCAAAGCCAGGTTGGAGAGGGCCAAAAATTTGGGGATAGAAAACAGGGGGATCAAAGTGAAGCTGGCACAGGATAGTAAGCGAGAAAAAGCGTAAGAGGGGGAATAAGAAGATGGGAAGTCTTGAGCAGTAGCATCCAAACCCATTTCCACCCTGCTCGATGCAGCAGATAGGGCACCGTTGATTATCCTCTGCGGTGGCCAGAGCATCAAGAAACTGTTTAAGGAGAAATTCATTGTATTGGGTGGACAGGATACTGTCATTTTGCCCAGGCCTAGACAGGAGAACGATTAGGGTTCTCAACCAAAGCCTTTGGTTCAAAAACCTGACCGCAAGACAGCGGGTTTTGTCACTGGACAACAGAGAGCGCGTTTTAAGGAATAAGGCGCCACCTCTTTTCAACCTCCAACCTGAAGGACCAGGAGGCTGTTTGTCTGGCCTCTAACCATTGACTAATCTGGTATGAGTGACTGTGAATGCGCAAAATAGAGGCACCACCCAGCATAGCTCAGTGGATCGCTGAGGCACTCAAACCATCGCACCCATCGCGCCTCATTGCGATGGGATTTCAGACTTCACCTATGCGTTATCAGATATCCAGAATTGTGTACAGGACGGCGTGATACCGAGTAGGACGCCTATTAACAAAGCGTACAATAATCCCATGAACTTACTAATAACATGACAAGGCGATGCTGGCTGGGGACAAACAGCTGCGAGTTATATTGGCGCAACTTTGCGAGGGATCCAGCAGTGGGGTTGTATGTGTGTTGTGCTCACGTTTCAGACAAAGCATCATCATCCCTTAGTCAAGGTTCTGCACCGATCGCCTCGAGTATAATGTAACAAGTTTCGTTAGTATTTGACACGAGTAACGCAAGCAAAACCGGGAATTCTCCGAACCACTACATAGACCAGTCTCTACTAAGCCATGCAGTCAACGAAAATACATCTAATTGTTTCGAAAGCCATGTCGTCCTGTAAAATTTGGAACACATTCTATATGGCCGCATTATGTTAACCTTCTGATGCTAGAGAACACATGGCTAAATGGATTGACCTGTAAAGAGAGCACACACTAGGGCTAAAGGAAGCTGCACACATGTTTACATTATGCGGTGATAACCAGAAATAAGAGATGAACGTCAGGCGACAGTGTTCATCTCCCCAGAGTTTTTCATTCTATCTGATAATACACTGAACGTTATCATGCTAAATATCCAGAGCGTAGTTTGTTTGCAGCATTTTATCCAGTGTCTGCATCGTCCAAGTTAAATGATGCTTGGGAGACCTCATATACTTTCCGATCAAAGTTAATTCCACTTAGCAGATTTATTGCGGTTGGTTTTGCCCTCCAGTTAAAATCTTTCAGTTACTGTGAGCAACAACCAACAACGCATCGACGAAGTATACATATGGCACTTTTACTTTAAAAGGGGGTAGAATAGTTTTGCCCTAAACATGTGTTTAACCCTGGACTGCCGACGGTATGCTAATGATGTGCTTCGAAGTTTAATAAATGTGAAGTAAACTCGTGAATAAAAATGTGGCGCAGTTTAATACTAGAAAAATATACAGAACGCACCTCATTCATGCACTCCAGCATTCGCATCCAGTCAATAAGCTGAAGAACTTTGCGGTTTTGAACGGTTGTCAATACACCCTTCGATCGATATCCACGTGGATAGTCGCTCATATTAAGATCGGGGGTTGAACCAGAGGAGGAGGCCTTGGATGGAAGGCAGGATTGATGGTGTTAATCACCTTAAACGATGACTTTTGAGCGATAGTCCAATGTGGCGGAAAACCTTGCTGATCTCTCCTAGAGAGCACAGTACCTCAGTGTATCTCATTTCAAATGCAAACAATGCACCAAACCTTGTACTAACAAGCTGCGTTTTGACCATTCTCGTAGTCTCCACCAATCATTAGCAGTAATCGATCTCGCTAACTCCGCCATTCTGGTAGGTGATACCGGCAACAATTTCGGGGTCACTAGACGGAACGCGATCGTGTATTTATCACAATGTTGCAAATTCGGTAGCATTGATAGTGGGTGAGCGTAAAATGCACACGTTACCTCGGGTGACCTGTTCACACCTACGGCGTCTGTGTAGGCTCAGCGATCGGTAAATCGGGTCAAACGGACATATCTCCGGCTACTTCTGCGGAGTGATGAATTGATGGACACCAGGTTCCATGAATCCACTAATCAATGACACATGCCACTTAGCTCTGATTTGGCTTCACTTTAGTGGGGCTGCACAATAGTTCTCGGATGAAAACCCTTGATACCTGAAACCAGAAGAGCATAACTTTAGCGGAAAAGTTGACCTGTCTTTCAAATTACTTCGGATTCAGAACTGGATCTTGATTGGTAATAAACTCTTTCTTGAACCTTTTACAATTCAGGTAAACAGAGAGAATCCTTATCTGAAAGGCCCAAGAAGAAAGCAGCTATCCACAAAGAAATCTACACAGTACTCCGTGAGTTGACGCACATTTATCTTGATTGATATTACTGGATGCAAACCTTTCTTTACCACTGATGACCCTGCGATCTCAGAATGAAATCATGTCTATCATATCTGCATGAGCACAATTCAGTGGCGAAAAAGACAACTTTAGTAAAACAATGAACCGCTATTGAAAATGCCCCCTGTTCAAAGTACCGGGAGTATGAAGTGCGCCCACGCGACTAAGTATAGAAAATGCTTCCTTTAACTGTCAACTGTCAACTGCGACAGAGTAGCCGAGGTCTCTCACATCAGCAGGTTACTTGTAGATTAATGATAATGATGATGCTGCTGCTGCTTCTGATGATGATAATGATGATGAAGATGCTGATGAGGAACGTAAAGTCCAAAAAACTTTATTTCCTGTGCCAGATCGATTATCCCCTCTTGATGGCTCAGTGATCCTATGCTCACCTCTTTCCACCTTCCGAGCTAATAACATGCTTTTCGTGCTTTAGACCATTACAGACGCAAGCGAATGTCGTTTTATGCTTACTTCATCTGCATGCAGTTTTCTCAAGGTCACGCTTTTGCCAGTCTGCTATTAACACCACTGTTCCTCTTATCTCTTTCCGCTGCTGTTGCAAACATAGACGTAAGTTCTACCTTGTATGTTATTCTGCCCTTAAGAACCACGGTTACAAGAGTATAATAAAAATTATGTCTCGACCATTTTCTATCCAGATCGTGCTTATAGTCTAGCTTTTTATCTGAAAATGGCAATATTGATATACCATACATGCGACGTAATTTTATTTAGCTCGTTCCGTCTTTACAGTGATGATGAAGATGATGACAACGACCATGAGAAAGAGGAGGAGGAAAATAAATAAATAAATAAATGGTATGGGTAAATTCGTCACATGGTATACTCATCGGCGATGTGAGGCGCAGTCCAACTATGTGGTCTGATCAATGTTAATGGTGATGATAATGACGAAGCATACGAAATACTGAAATCAGAGTGTGATGGCTAGAGAGAGCTAAGAAAGGTAAAATGATGGTGGTCAGCAAACGGGCATAGTGCAAGCATATATTAAGGTTGCTGAGGATAACAAACCGTAAGAATCATCGGCCCGCAGATTCTCAAGTCATGCAAGGGTGCTAAGGTGGGTTGAGCCAAGAAAAGCCGGTGAGACAGCTATACTGCTACATGAGCAAGTGTCAAAGACAGGAAGTAAGGGAAGATTGGACACCTAGAAACCGGAGCCTAAACAGCTGTTGTGCGCTGACAACTTAATTTATGTTTGCTCGCTAGAAGATAGCGAAGGAGGGTTAATTGATGAAGGGCAACAAACGGGCGGAATGCAAGCAAACATTGAGGTTGTTAAATACGTCAGAACACCAGAGGCTAATCGCAGTGGCGCGCAGATACTCAAGCCATCTAGGATGCTATGGGAATAGTACCAAGTTAGACTGAGCAGGGAAAAGTCCGGAAAAGAGCTGGACTTCTAGATGAACATGTCACAGACGTGGCCGCAAGAAAGAGATAACAGCCTCTAGAAAGCTGAAGCTAAGGAGCGGCTGTGCCCTGACCAGATGAGATAAAATTGATAGCTAGAAGAGAGCTAAGGAAGCTTACTTGAAGAAGGGGATGTGAGCAGACGGAATGCAAGCCCACGTTAAGGTTACTGAGGACGACACAAGATATAAGAAAAGGCGCAGCGGCGCGCAGATACTCCAATCACGTTAGGGTGCTAATTAATAATGCTAAGGTAAATTAAGCCAAGAAAAGCCGGTGAGATAGCTGAACACGTACATGGGAAAATTGGCAAACACGTTGCGGTGTGTGTGGGAAAACTGAACATGTGGAAAGGGAAGGTTAGGATGCGACTTTGCGCTGGCAGTTGAGATAAGATTAATCGCTGTTAGCGAGCTAAGGATTAATGAGAGATGAGTGGCCAACGGAACAGCGGAATGTAGACATACATAAAAGTTGTAGGAGCACTCAGGAGATGAAATAGTATAGCATGGTATAGAGGGCCATACGCTGCGCAGAGTCTGGTGTCTTGCAAAAGATGGGAAAGTCTAGTCAGGATAAGGAATAGGACAGGAGAGCTGTTATGAGAGGCAGGTACCCTAGAGCATGGTCACAGAGGCCTGATGGTAGTCATGAGGTAAGAAGGAGAGATCAGAGGAGGAAAGATTTCTAACAACGACTTGAAAACATTCGTCCTTTTTCTTGGGCTTTGGTGAGGTCAGATTGAAACTACGCGTATTTGTGGTCAGGTTTGTCTACCCAAAGCTCGCCTTCGTGATGATTTCCTTTGATGTAACAGCTTTGTTCGCTTCAATCAACACCAAGCTGGCAAAGCAAACGATGGCAACACTACTGGGCCAACGCGGACCCTCAGACACGAACAATAAAATAGATGCCATCCACATGATGGAGTTGTTGGATTTATGCCTCACGACACAATGGAACAATGGAACAATGGTTTATTACGGGTAAAAAAGCATTGCTTCCTATGGGACTTGTCTCGTTGGATAGAAATTATTGCGAAAATCAATTGCATGATAAAGTGAAAAGCGTTGTGGTGGACTCACCATAGAATATGTGGAATAGCGGAGATGTTCGCGTATTAAAGGTATAAATCCATAAATCCATTGGTTAGGCGTTTGGCATGACACCGTTTGATTGAGTTTTGTAGCACCTGGCTAACAAGTCATAAAATGAAATGTAAGTGAGACAATGCGTCGTCAACTCGTTTTTTAAATCTCGCCAAATTGGGAGCAGATACGACATAATTAGGGAGGGCGTTCCAAAGCTGACACACGCGGAGGGAAAAGAAATTTCTCCGGCATTCAAACCTGTTATACTGAATTGTCAGTTTCAGAGGGTGACCACTTAGTTTAGTGCCGTGGTTCAATTCCAACAGCAGACGAGAGATGTGGTTTGGATACTTCAGAATTTGGTATATCATCATGAGATCCCCCCGCAAAAGTCGATATCGACTGCTGTACATTCTGAGAGATTTCAGTCTTAGCTGATAGGGCAGATGAAAGAGGCCCCTGACGTTCTTGGTTGACGTTCGTTGAGGAGTCTCGAGAGCAACGAGATCCTGTTTCTGTCCCGGCTGCTACGCCTGAATAGCATATTCCACTTGCGGTCGCACGTAGGCGTTAAACATTTGGAGAAAGATTGAGGGTTCAAACCGACCGAGGACTCTGCGAAGAAGGCCGAAGGATTGCTTGCTAGTTCTCGTCGCCTTCTCTGCTTGTTTTGAACACCCAAGATCTTCCTGTACCAATACACCTAGGTCACGTTCCTGAGGGGTCTTCTCCAAGGTGTGGTCTCCAAGCTTGTAAGCGCTCACGGGTTAGTGACGCAGATGTATCACTTTGCACTGAGCAGTATTCAATTGAAGCAGGTTCCTGTTTGACCATTCGTAAATGCAATCTAGGTCATGTCGGAGCAGATCCTGATCTGCCTTGTAATCGATCGCCCGCAATATCTTGACGTCATCGGCGAAAAGCAGGAAGTTTGAGGAGATGACTCTTGCCAGGTCGTTGATAACCACCAGGAATATACGCGGTCCCAGCAATGAGCCTTGTGGAACACCACATTCCACCTCAGTTGGGTTAGTGATCCCCTAACACGTACTTGAAGCTTCCGTTGGTGAAGAAAGCTGCCAATCCAACCAAGTACATGATCTCCGATTCTGTATCTCTGTAGCCGTTGAAGTAGGATGCGGTGATCAAAGCGGTCGAAAGCTTTTGAGAAGTCCAGCTAGATGACGTCGACTCCGACCCCATCATCGGCCACTTCCGTCCAACTACCTTGTGCAATTAGTAGGTTGGTGGTGCTTGACCGATATTGACGGAAGCCATGCTGTTCCGGCACCAAAATGTTGCATTTTCCAGGTAGTCCATTAAAGCCTCAGCGACGACTGCTTCCATCACCTTCGCGAGTGCAGGGAAGAGAGTCACTGGACGATAGTTTGCAGGATCTGAACGGCTACCGCCTTTAAAAATAGGGGTGATAATGCCACACTTCCACATAGCGGGGACTTGTTGTTCATCGAAGCACCTTTGAAAGAACTGTGACAGTGGTTCAGCTGGCTTACTAGCCACAGACTTCAGTGCCTTCGGGCGGATGTTGTCTGCTCCCGGAGAACTATGCTCACGCAGTGAGAGTAACTTCCTTAACACAATTGATGGGTTGAAAATTACATTTGTAAACAATGGAGTCGGTAATGTGCATGACGTTATGGGACAGGTAGAGGTTGCGAGTTCAAAAATTGGAGCGTATTGCAGCCGCAGGACATTAGCTGCTTCTTCGGCGCTTTGTACTCTACCGCCTGTCGTGAAAAGTGGAGGGATTCCATGCTTCCCTTTACGAAGCTTATTGACATGCCTATATAGTAGTTTGTTGTTTGCCATGAATTTTTTTGGCTAGGTACTGTTGATAAGTTACTTTGTCCTCACGGACAAGTGCAGTGCAGTGGTTGCGATGGGTCAGGAAATTTCCCCAAGTCTCTGAGTCGGGATTAAGCTTGTAAGCACGCCATGGTGCATCCCTTATCGCCAGGCATTTTCGAGTCCCGCTCCTTAGAACTGAAGACATTTTTGCGGGGCGAAGGGGTTTGGTCTCTGATGCTTTGTTGACCATGTCGCTGAGTCTATTAACGAACTCTGCCCAAATGTTGTCAAGGGGACTTTTGTTTGAGAATTCCCAAGCAGCTGCGTCGGCGAGTTCTTTTAATACCTGGTAGCGTGTGATTGTATGAGTTAGTTCCGAGTGTTCAGATGGATACTCTGCATAACACACATAGTCAAACGTTATTACTACGTGGTCACTGTGACGTAATGGACTATCCATCAATAACTTGTCAATCATGAGCTCTTCATTTGTGAGCACAAGGTCCAATATGGACGGTTTGTTTGCTGTCCTGAATCTAGTGGGCATGGTGACATGATTGTACAAAGGAATATTAACGATCAGTTCATGCAGGTCTGCTTTGAACTGTT